CATGGCAAAACATCCACTGAAATCTATGTAGATGTTTCATTTTCAGGAAAAAAAAACAAACAAAAAAAAAAAACATCTGCTTGTTGAATAAAGCTGATCAAACGAAATGTTTGATTTTGCTTTCTTGCACAGTGTAAGATTGTGCTACTTCAATAGGGTTCATTTATATTCATCTTTACTAGCCACGCCAAAGAATCTGTCAGATACAAAAGTGCTTATTATTTACAAAAAGCTACTTAAATGAAACCCAGGTAAAAGTGACAGTATGAGGGCTGCAGCTGTGTGTTATGATACTCTGAGGATCTGCAACTCCTCAGACCTTACAGCGCTGCAGTGTGTTGCTCAGCCCACAAATGTTTTTCACCTCCATCTCATTTGTTGTCAGAGCAGGCGGCTGTTCCTTTTATCAGCGCTAAAGGTGATGATAGATAAATGCTCGCAGTCTGTTTTTTGTTGTCCCTAAGTGGCCCCTAGATTAGTTATTGCAGCTTTGTAAGTGTCTCTCTCAGTAAAAGGCACTGAACTCACCGTTTGCTTTATAGCTGCCCATATATCGGGATATAGAGGCCGTGAAGAAAAGACAGAAAGAACCTGCTATCAATCACTTTATGTGGTCTCGGTAGGAAGAAGAGAATTAGAGAAAAATAACCCAGTTGTCCTATTCAAAGCGTCGCCTGAAACCATACAGTGATATGGTATAGAGATTGCCTGTGCCTACTTTATCCACAGTGTCTCTTTATTATGTTGCTCCCTAGAAATGTGAAAAAAAAAAAAATAAGTCTGTGGCTGAGTATTAGCCAGCTGCTTGTTGCCAGGTTACAGGGCCAGTAAAATGGATTTGGGGGAAGCGGCATAACTGATCAAATCAAACCCTGTTCAGAGCAAAACTGTGAAAATAATTAGTTAGGAAGGGAACAAACAGTAAAAGGAAAAGACTAAAGCACTATGCATTAGCCTTGTGGTTTTAACCACTGATGAGGTCGCACATGAAGCTCATCGTCTCCTCTGAGGCGAAGACATGGAGAGACGTTGTCATCATGGGATACTTGGCACAGCATTTTACGTGGAAACAGAAATTAATCCATTTTATAATGAGGCCATGGCATCAAAAACCTTCTGGACCAGCTCTGACAATGGCAACAAGTAGAAAATGTAGACAACTGAAACAAGTTTATTTGGCACTGCGCATGCTGATGGGATATAAAACAAAATCTAAAAAGCTTACCATTAGAGCACTTTATGTTATAACACGATTGTTATATGTTTTTGTCACAAATGATGGCATATTTTATCATGGATTATTGTGATGGACCAACACACAGTAAGACAAATCTAACTGGGAAGTGGAGGGAAAGTGATAATTGATTCCCTGAGCATGTTCATTTTGAAAGAAAAAAGACCTAAATGCTTTTTTTTATTTTTAACTTCTTGTTACATCTGTAGTTTATACATAGCTAGTTGATGACTGAGACAAAGGTAGCCATATTAACAAATGTCCATCGTATATGGTTTGGTGTCTGGTCGCTTTCTCGTCAAGGCATTAAAAAAAAATGTGAAAAGGAAAACCACTAGAGGGAGACACCACCTTGATGTTTTCATTTCTGCATTTTGTTGCAGAAGTGAAAACTGCCTGCATTGCTTTTTAAAGCTTGATTTCATCCAATATGTTTTTTTTTTTTTTTTTTTTTTTTTTTTTTCCCTGTTTTATTTGGGGAAAAAAAAACCGTGGGCGTAATTTACTCCCCCAT